CCGGTCTCCCCTCCTCTGACAAACTCCGAAAGGCGCAGAAATTCTCCAATCTCCTCAGCGCACTTTCCTCGTCATATTTTGCGTATCTCAGGAAGGCCAAGAGAAAAATATCGTCTAGTGAAAAGAGAACATTCAGCCAGCTTCAAGGGTCCCAAAATAATATGCGGACAACTTCACCTTTGCCTCATAAAACGAACGAAAAGAAATGAAACTAACTGATACTTTCGTCTCCCGTTGCAATAAGCTACGCATTCTGCCAGCTACATAGTTGGGGCATTAGTTTTGAGTACTTTTACTATGCATTTCTTGTCAGAATATGTTCACGCGTGTGATAGTAAGTCGTGGGGCAATAACCTGCGAAGAAAAAGATGTCTGAGTGCATTTGATCAGCTGATCGACGTTTCAATCAGCTTGCTCGGTTGGGGCAAGGTGAAGGGGACCACTGTGCATTTAATCAGAATAAGACTCGCGTGGGCTGGAGACGAGCTGAGGACCGATGCACCCGACGGAACCGCCCGCCACTTCAAGATCTCCATCACCCCTTACACCATCCCCTCGAACCCCACGGGTACCAACTCGACACATGTCAGTATTTGTCATCGTCGTTGCACCAACCAGATGACAATGTGTTGGCGGAACATCAGTAAAATCGAAAATCGCACAACGTGCCTCACCACTTAGAAGGCGGAGGTCACTTCGGTTGGTAGTACAGTAGTATAGTAATATACAGTTCGTGACCTATCTCGTGAAACCTAATAACGGAAACAGAGGTGAGAATTTCTGGACGTCCTAAACGTTGCGCATCTTGCTTGCTCATCCAGCCACTTCAGTGACATGTCCTTTTATTGTGCAGAAATTGTCTTTACATAATTCTATCAGGCAAAATGTTCATAAATTTCGGCGAAAATGGAAGTTGCGATTTATTCGTGTAATTTCCTATGCTAATAACCGACCCAGACTTCGGTTGGGCATCTGAACAGGTTTATCATTGAATGGAGAGTAATTTACTCGCGAGAGTTTTAATGATGAGAGGTTGCCGGACTTGAAAATTCATTTTTTGTCCAATGCTAACCGTGATAATCAACTTGCTTACATAAAGGTTGTTTAAAGAAAATCCGATGTTATTTACAAATACGTGATACAAAATCTGTTTTTATGGCCCACCGGGAAAACGCTGAAAATCATGAAGTATTAGACAATATTTCAAGGCCAATCGGAAACTCAACGTAATCCAAAACGAACAAAAAGTGCAAACTAATTTAACGGAGGAAAATTTCTCCCTATAAACACAAGGTGGTTTGGTTCTGATTACGCCTGCCTATTCTATTGAACTTTGTTAGTTACCGATCGGTGTGCCTCTTACTGGCATCATTCCGGTCTCTGCCCCTCTGGTAAGCTCCGAAAGGCGCAGAATTTCCCTAATTTCCTCTGGGAATTTTCCTAATCATATTTTGCATATCTCAGGAGGTCCACGAGAAAAAATCATCTGGGGAAAAGAAAACGTTCAACCAGCTTTAAAGGCCTCAAAATCGTGTGGGAACTACTTCGCGTTTCCCTCGTAAACTAACGAAAGGAAAGAAAACCAACAGATACTCCATTTCCTGTTGCAAAATGCTACGGAGTGAGCCAGCTGCATGGTTGGGACTTTACTTTTGAGTACTTTTATTATGCATTTCATAGTAGAATATGTCCATGTGAGCGATGGTAGGTCGCAGGGTAATAAGCTGCGAAGGAAAGGATTTTATCAGCTGGTGGACATTTCAACCAGCTTGCTTGACTGGGACAAGAGAAAAATATCGTCTATTGAAATGAGAACATTCAGCCAACTTTAAGGATCCCAAAATAATGTGCGGACAACTTCACGGTAACAATCGGGAGATGGCACCCAAAAAACCCGTTACCTAGAATATACGGCATACATTCGCATTATGGCAGTTTATTACAAAACAAAATCACTTTTAAATAGGATACGTCTGCACAGTTCCCAGGCATCTGTCAAAGACATGGCATTAAGGCCAAACCAAAGACATACTGTACTTCGTCTATGTGAGGCCACACAGCTCGACCACATACAGGGCCTACCTCGTGGAGTTTCCTTTTCTGTCTACTCCAGTATGCCTCAATGGCATTGGTGTGCCGTCCGGTGTTAGGGTCCTTGAATTTCTTTGAGTGGTTAACAGAGAAGTGTAGATAACCCTCTGAGGGAAGACGATTATACGCCTTCCACTCGTCCGTTACCACTATACTGCCTTTGGCGACACATTTTGTAATAACGGAACGGAGAGCGGGCCAACTTCGATCATTCACCTGTTCAAATAAGGCTTTATGTCGGCCAGTGTCGTACATCACGACCAGCCACCATCCATAAAGCCCCTATTACCACCTGTCCCGTAAGACAGGCTGCTTTGGTTTGGCGACATTTTTGGGTGCCATCTCCTGACTGTTACCAACTTCAACTTTGCCTCATAAAACGAACGAAAAGAAATGAAACTAACTGATACTTCCGTCTCCCGTTGCAATAACCTACGCATTCTGCCAGCTACATAGTTGGGGCATTAGTTTTGAGTACTTTTACTATGCATTTCATGTCAGAATATGTTCATGTGAGTGATGGTAAGTCGTGGGGCAATAACCTGAGAAGGAAAAGATGTTTGAGAGTCTTTGATCAGATGATCGACGTTTCAACCAGCTTGCTCGGCTGGAGCAAGGAGAAGGGCACCACTGTTAATTTAACCAGAGCAAAACTAGCGTGGGCTGGAGACGAGCTGAGGACCAATGCACCCGACGGAACCGCCCGCCACTTCAAGGCCTCAGTCACCCCTTACACCCAAGAGTGCCGACTCGACACGTATGCCAGTGTCTGTCATGGTCGTTGCAGCAACCAGACGACAATGTGTTGGCGGAACAGCAGTCAAATCGATAATCACACGAGGTGCCTCACCGCTCGGAAAGCAGGGACCAGTTCGGTTGGATATTCGCATTGCAGGGGCTTTTACAGTGAACAGAGAACTTGGCTATTTAAACTGTCAGATATGATCCATCCATTCTCACCGTTTTGCCTTTTGCATCAAAATGCCATAATGTTTGATGCCGGACGTCGAGAAATGGGAAGACGAAGTAACTGCTCGAAACGCCAGACCTCTAATAAACCCCTTCCGGTGAACGCCTCCTATTCTTTCGATACGTCGAGAGATATTTCAAGTAGCCCTTCGACGTACCGGTAGGGGTAGGGTATCTAACCCCATGTATGATAACTGTGCTTCACAACAATTTTCCTACCAATAGGTCGCGAAAGAGGGTGTGAAGGAAGAAAATTTTGATCTCCAATAGCCTTATCGATGTTAAAGTTGCCCGTTTCGGGCCCAAGGTCAGGGTTTGGACAATGGCTAAAATTGGTGTTAGTTGGGTTATTCTTGAGAATAGGGTTCCCAGGCTTGGGCTGTGGTTTGAATATGGAATGGAGGCTAGGGTTAGAGTTTTAAGGATTAGCTTATGGCTACGGTTGTGTCCGACGTTTCCTTAAATGTTTACATGTTAGAGATTCCCCACGGAGGGTACGAACATGGTTGGCGTTAGATATGTACCTAACTACTGTCACCCCAAAGAGGTTACATACCATACCCTTGCTAACGTACCAAAGTCAGATATTAAAAACCACGGTTTGCCGCGATCTCCATTAGATACTCACAATTGCACCGTCTTCGAACCAGCGAAATGTGCGCGGTGTGTCTCTTGAGGGAGGCGGGTTACTGTAGGGTTTGTTTGCATATTATGATGGGTCTTTTTAATAGGAATAGACTAGCAGGAATGTGGGAGCGACTGACGGGTGGACAACTGGTTGCAAACGGAGGGCTACGTGACAATCAACAAGAAATGCCTCATTTCGCGGTCCTGTGACCGCATTAAACGAGATGTTATCAGTACTTCCATCCTTGACCTATACCTGGCATCGAACTGCTAATTTTCATCTAAGTACTTGAGTAACAAGGGATTATACAAGGTAAAACAAGGCCAAAGCCATCACATTTCCGGCCAAATCATCCCAAGTTTGGCGGCAGGTACGACTCTTCTATCGGGGGACTCGCCGCATTTGTTGTATAAGGTTGCCGAGGTAATCTGTGGCAATGTCATCAAAGGGGAGTAATTGTCAGTTCACCGGTATGAAAACTAGGTGAATACATATGACGGTCACCGCTAACCGAGAGTTTCCGTGTAGAGATGCCTACAGGAAAATTTGTCAATGACGAATTAATCAAATAAGCGATCAAATGTTTGGGAACGAACCGACCTATCGTAAGATATCTCAATGAAACCAAACCGGGAAGACATCAATGCACACGCCCCAGATAGCGACAAAGCAATTGATGATGACCCTCATTTAAAGGATTCCCTGTGTAAGGTACTTCGATGATAGCTATCAAAAGGACTCCGTATTTGCTGTCATAAGCACTCATCAGCCTAGCGTATAGTGGAAATCTGTTGAAGGTTACCGAAAGCAAACAAAACTACTTTCAAAGGAATCAGTAGTTAGTAATAAAGTTGGAGGCAGGCGTAACTGTCCTAAGGAGGAACTCGGATACAGCCTTTTGCTGATCAGAAGAAGAAGCGATCAAGTGACAATCCGAAACGTCAGACGAATAAAGCCCTTGTTCCAGCGATCGCTTATTCTTCTGATCATCTAGCTCCTGGAACTCGCATCTGCGCTTGTATCGGCAATTTTTTTTGGGCACAACGCGCTCCGATCGGCCCGACGATGGGAAAATTTTGCCCTTCGAGAGGCCTCTACTTATGCGCAGATCCGGTTTCTGCACAGACGTATCGATAACAACGTGTTGCTGAAGTGCGTTTCATACAAACCCCCGATAAACACGGAGCTAGCGAGACGCGCAGTATTTCAATACGGAAGACGTATGATCCGCGTGCTCCTTCAGGATTTCGATGCGAGGCTTCGAAAATAGCATCAGAGAATTGACCAAGAGAAGGCCAGCTGCTGCGAGTTTATGGGCGAGAACGGCGCAAATCTGCTTCAGCAGAAGGTGACTGAACGAGCGCGTGAGCAGAGAACGACACGCGATGCAGCACTGGGGAACAAATTCCAAAAACTGCCTGATCCAACGTCATCCGGAGGCGGCACACTGGTACACAACCTGTCGTCAAAGGAACTGACGAAAGAGCAAGTACAGGTTTTATGGCACGAAGCCTCATTCAACACAGTTGACGCCAAACCTGTCAACATGATTGCAGTAGTGAAATCGGTCATGAACCAGACGGAAGCGGCGGAGGAGACGAAGAACCTTATCCGACGCCAAATTTCGTCCCTCTTTATGACTCACAAGCCGCGCGAAATACTCCCAAAGGTCGAACGTGCTGCACTGAGAGAACTCAAGGCCGATAAGATTATCGTCATCGTGCCCGGGGATAAGGGGCGTTCCACCGTCGTACTGGACAGAACAGACTACCTCCAGAAGGCCAAAAACCTACTGGAGGATAGCCAGTTTTATGTCCCATGTGAAACCAACCCCGTAAAGACGCCAACATGCGAAATTAATGCGACACTATTGCAATAACACCGACCGACCGACGCATGGCGAGAGTCCAAGAAACGGCTATCTCCAGATTCTATGGTCTCCACAAGGTGAACAAGGAAGGCGTTCCTCTCCGGCCCATTGTATCGTTCAAAGGCACTCCAACGTACGGACTGGCAAAATGGTTGCTTCGACGTCTCAAATTTCTGACTGCTGATTCGGACATCACCATCTGTTCGTCAACACAATTCCTGGAGAAGCTTAAAGGAGTAAGTATCTTGCCAAATGAGGTCGTGGTATCTTTTGATGTCATGTCCCTCTTTACTTCTATCCCCAGGATCTGGCAATCTAGACCGTCAAACTACTCCTACGAAACAAATACAATGAAACAGAGAATCGTCTCGGACATGCCCAAGTCCTTCAGCTCCTAAATTTCTGTGTCGGGACGTACTTCACATTTTACGGAACAATCTACGGGCAAGTGAAGGGAACACCAATGGGCTCGCCGATTTCGTGATTCATCGCCGAGTCGGTCCTACAACGGTTAGAGTCGCTGGTCTTCCAACACCAAAAACCGAAATTCTGAGCTCGGTATGTGGACGATACCTTCATCGTCATCGAACGGGATTAGGTGCTAATGTTCGAAGAACGTCTCAACAGAGTCTTCCCGGACATGCAATTTACGATGGAGGAGGAAGAAAATAACCAACTGGCATTCCTTGATGTCCTCGTTTGTCGCAAAGACTGCGGTGGCCTAAAGACCAAAGTGTTCAGAAAAGCGACGAACACGACGCAAATAATGAACTTCAACAGTAACCACCCAAGCAGCCACAAACGCAGTTGCGTAAGAACGCTATGTCGGCGTGTTGAGACGCACCTCAGTGAACCGGAAGACAAGGTTGCCGAATCCCAATAACTTCAACGAGCTTTCAGAGAAAACTGTTACTCGCGCAACTTCGTCAACCGGTACATGCGCAAACGAGACGAACGACAAAATCGTGCCGACCCCATATTCTGGCGAGTGATCCCGTACATCAAGAACGTCTCCGAGGCCGTCAGTCGCCTTCTTGCACCACTTTGGGTTAGAGTTGCACACAGACCGGAGGCCACCATGAGGCGTCAGGTGATGAGACCAAAAGACCCACTGCCACGGCAAGAAACGTCTGGAGTCGTTTACCGGATCTGGTGCAGTTGCGGACAACGCAACTACGTCGGAGAAACTGGAAGAAGCTCCGGATGCGAATTGCCGAACACGTGGCAGCGGTGCGGAGAAATGACGCCAACTCTCAGGTCGCTGTCCATTCGACGAGACCCGGCCACACATTCAGGTTTGATGAGGCCGAAATTCTCGCGAGAACGGACAATCGCGTGAGCCGCGAGTTGCTTGAGTCATGGTTCATGGGACCTCAGTCTATCAACAAGTGCTACGAGATCCACACTCCATATTCCGTGCTGAGTCATAAGCTGGCCAAAATAATTGACCACTCGGGGAGCGCGCAAGCCGGTAAGCCAGATGGCCGGGCAATCATCACGTCAGCATCCAACACGCGTGATGACATTTCGGCAATTAACATGTTGCACGCCACCATCAAGCAATTAGCGCACCAGCGGGCAACAATCCTTGATGAAGGGGAGCGCGGTTAATTGCTATAGGTATGCGGTATCATAGTGACTGCATCCTATAAATAATGCAACTTCCTGTGCACGAGTCACCCTTTTCTGCCACTGTCTCTGATGATGAGTTAAGGTGAGAATCCGGAACGTCAGGCGAATAAAGTCCTTGTTCCAGCTATCGCCTCTTCTTCTGATCAACTAGTTCCTGGAACTCGCATCTTCGCTTGTATCGACAGACCTTTGCCTTTGAATGATTTTCGTTGGTTTTCCCGACGTTACCGAAGAGTTTAGTGAGTACATGTAAATTACTACTGTTCCCCGTCAAAACACGTCATTATCTGGTGCTTTTGTGCGCTTTATTGCGAAAACCAAGCTCCTACCTTAAATTGGAGGGTTCTGAATGAAGCTCGAATGTTGCTAGTTTAAAAACTCGACTACTGATTTTCAACTCGATTCAATTTCCTCAATTGTAACTGAAGTACAATTCATAATTTCCTCTGAAACGTTTCTGTCAATTGCCCTTGAGAAAATCCTAATTATCCACATGGTTCCCACTTTTGTATAAAACATGTCGTCTTTCTTCAATTCAAATGTCACTCAGAAAAGCTACCTGAAGTTATTCGGCTTTTGTTTAGTTCGAGCATGCATGCTGGTAAAGAACTTTTAGCACCTAATGTGCATGCCTAAGCACTAGGTTTTATGAAGATGGAAGCCACAGCTAGACTCGCATGACATGGAAACCATAGTGAAGCTATATTTATTAACATGCTTTATTAGGTAATAAAAGGAAGGGATTGTGAGAAATGAGAATTCCAATAACTATTTAAATACTTCTGGATTCCAGAGTGGCTCATTAAAAAGTACATCCTCTTTTCAATAATCCGAAACTATCCGAGTCTGTCGGCGTTTCAGCCCTCCTCCGTCTTATTTTACGACATAAAAATAAAAAGCTCTGGTCAGGCACCTTCGTGCTAGGGCGAAGTACAGTGCTCTTTTTCATTGGAGCTGAATGACTTTTAATAGGGGAACCTCCTAATGAAACTCAGACTGCCTGAGCATGAAAAATTACCTGCTATTAATTGCCCAAAATCCCGTCAATGAGAACGACCGATAGAAATCCGACTGCTAGTGTTTAAATGATGGTTCGACTGGATCAGTCCCAGGAGAGAGGGAGAGCAGCTGGTCAGAAGATGTCCCTCTGGGACTTAGTCAGACTTGTAATTTTTTTAGGGGGAATCATATGGAACTAAGAGCAAGGAAACCTACGTCCTCCAACATCTTTAGTAACCAGTTTTTTTCCATTTTTGATTGAAAACAACAAAATTCGACAACCTGCGGTTTTTGCCAGGTATATAAGGATCACAATATCAGAATGTAAGTGCAGTCTACTGACAACGAAACGTACCCATTGGGCATGCAATATGAGGCAAGGATGAAATGGAAGATCGAAATCTCTCCAGGCGTAATGGCATCTGTACCACTACTTCGTTCAACTCCTCTCTTGCACGGGTCAAGTGAACTGACGGCAGCGGGGCGATGGGATCATAGAGAGTAAAGGACAGGGGGGCCTTCCTCGAAGACGCAACATTGGCAGCGTTATTGTCTTTTGCCTGCCTCTGTTCAGGTCTACTTAGCTCCTACATGAGACAGGTCTGCGACAGCTAGTTGAAGACAAAAAGGTCCACCGGCGTAATTTATCGTCACATGCTCCTGAAGGGCTACAATTGGCTCTCATAGCACCGCAAGTATTGAGCAAGTTTGCGCTAGGCACTAGCAAATTGAGAACACTGCACGATTCGACGTGAGATTATTACGCGGTGTGAATTGCACAGCGCTCCTGGCAAACTGGATCGAATTAGAAGGCATCGTTGAGGGCACATGACAGACTATTTTTGCAGTGTAGTAATTTTATTGCAGGAGCATTTTTGAACCACGGAGGAATTGGATTCGAAATGTCGCACTTACAGAAGGGGTTGGATATGGGAATACGGACCCTTCCCCCTATTGCTGATGGTCCTGGTCTAAATTCCAGGGCGGGAGGGGGTGGTTAGAGTTAACGGTGAGATGTGGATATGTAGCCACGCCTGATGTAAACAAACCCCGATCACCTGTAATACGGAGCCGGTGGTAATAGGGGTATTTAGAGGTGGGACCGGGGAATGCACAGGCGACGAGGTCAACCAGTCATATGCAAAAGAAAACCTATTGGGAATGCGCGGTTGTACTTTGAGGAGTTGGCAAACGGTTGTCTTAACCCCTAACCCTTATACCTGACCTCAACCCTAATAGTATTGTGTCCATCAGGTGGGGCTACAAAACCACATCTTGCCGAGTTGACGTTAGAACGCGGTACTAGGAGCCTCTGAAACGTAGCGCGATGCAACCAGTAGTACAGGGGGCGGTCCATATTCCTGTATCGGACCACAGAAGAGACAAAGACATGCTGAGGGGCGCTGAGTCAGAGGCAAAACTGAACTTCCCGCCTGTCACCGCGGCACACATTGAAATGAAACATTTCCCTCATTCCATTTTCGAACCAGGACTTTAATCCTTCCAAAACAATGATAAATCATTTGTCGAAAAGATCTCGAGTTTCCTATTATGGTACTGGCATTTGTGGGTAAAAGATATTTGCGACAGATTCATTAATGCAAAGGCGCTCACAATGTTATGCTTGCATTCCACCAAACAGTTTCGCTGCTGTAAAATATCTTCCTAAACATACCCAACAGTGTCAAGAGTACTAACAGCAGTCGTTGTGTTTTACTGACGGTCCGCACCATTATCCGCGTGTCTGCGGGGTGGAATTCGTTATTCTTCTCCGGGATGTGAGCGGCGACTTGAGACAGCACGTCACCTCTCCGCTTTCAACTGCATCTTCGTTAGCTGAGTTATTGTGCTGTCTGACTGACATAGGAGCATGGGAAGTTCTGGCAGGGAATTTGATAAGTCACCCTTGATTGTTCATCCGTGGGATCCGGTGGGTCATTCATCTGCATGGCTCCTTTACGCACAGCTGGCACACAGTCAGTGAGCGATCTCATGGAATGTTCACTGAAATATTGAAATGTGGTTTCGACTAGGAAGGGTTACTTAAGTGGGGTTATAAATTTATCCATTGTGCACAACAACCTCCAGATATTTCACTCCTGCCAGAATGCAGGCTTTTGGATGCGTTTCTTTTCGATCGTCCCGAAAGACCGCGCTCAATAAAAGTATCTATTGAATCAACATGGATCCAACGTTGATGGCGTAACATCAGAAACGACTATCAGGCAGAGTGAGCACCACTTATACTGGGCACATCCGAACGATGGGCAATGGGCTATCTTCTTAACATCTGGATCATGTTTAAAACTCCTATTGAAGATGCCCATCCGGAAACCTTGTGCTCATTCACTTTGCTCTATTGGCTGATCCCATGCCTT